CCCCTCTCCTTCCTTCCTTCTCCTCCTCCCTTCCCTGCTTCCGCATCTCCCTCCCTCCCCTCTCCTTCTCCTTCCCTCCCCTCCCTCCCTCCTCTCTCCCCTCCCCTCCCCTCCCTCCTTCCCCTCCCCTCCCCTCCCCTCCCTCCCCCCTCCCCTCCCCTCCCTCCCCTCCCCTCCCTCCCGGGATCTACGGTGAATTCGCGAGGGCCTCTCGTTCCTCCTCCCTCCCCTCCCTCTCCTCGTCCCTCCTCCTCCCTCCTCCTTCTTCTGGGCGTCCATTATCCGTGCATTTGTCCCTAATTCCTGGGCCTTGAGTAGGAGTAGTAGGCACGGGCGGCATTTGCGGGCGGGGGGGGTAGGTGCGGGCGTGGGGAGAGGGGCGGGGGGTAGGTGCGGGGGCGGGCGTAGGGGGGAGTGTAGATGCGGCCGTAGGGGGGGGTGTAGGTGTGGGCGTAGGTGGGTTGTTGGTGGGCGTAGGGAGGTGTTGTTAGGTGTAGGGAGGTGTAGGCGTGGGCGTAGGTGGGTGTAGCTGGGGCGTAGGGAGGTTATAGGTGCGGGCGTAGGGGGTGTAGGTGTGGGCAGGGGGTTTAGGTGTAGGCATAGGGAGGTGTAGGTGTGAGTGTAGGTGTGAGCGTAGGTGGGAGGTTGGTGGGCGTAGGGGTGTAGGGGGGGTTTGGTGTGTGGCGTAGGGAGGTGTTGGTGGGCGTAGGGAGGTGGTGGCGTAGGTGGGTGTGGTGGGCGTTGGGTGGTAGGTGGGGGCGCGGGCGTAAGGGTGTATAGATGATGGCGTAGGTGGGTGTTGGTGGGCGTAGGGAGGTTTATAGAATGATGGCGTAGGGGGGGAGGGGGTAGAGGAACGGATAGAGCGACAGATAGATAGACAGAACAGATATAGATGGATCGACTCTCCGGAGGCATAGTTCGCCAGGGAAGGTTTCTCAGGCCGTTGGCGCTCCGGCTCTTTAAAGTTGATGGATAAGGGAGGGAGGGAGAGAGAGGAGCGTTTGGGAGAAAGATCAGGGAGAGTAAGGGGACTGATAGATAGAACGAAAGAGCAGGGGAGAAAGATCAGGGAGAGTAAGGGGATCGATAGATTGAACGAAGATCAGGGAGAGTACAGGAGACTGACAGATAGAACGGGAAGAGCTAGGAGGAGGTAAGGGGACTGAATAAGAGAGAACGAAAGCAGCAGGGACGAAAGATAGGGAGAATACGCTTGACTGACAGATAGAACGAAGGTAAGAGAAAAGAATAGATTAGTAGGGGACTGAGTAATAGAACAAAGATCAGGAAGAGAAAGTTGGAACTGATAGATAGAACGAAACTGTCAGGAGAAGAAGTTAGGGAGAAGACTACAGACAAACGAAAGAGCAGAAAGAATAGGGAGAAGTTAACTGACAGAGAACCAAAGCAGGAGAAAGCAGAGTAAGGGACTGATAGATAGAACGAAATATTCAGGGGAACCGGAAAATTAGACTGATAGATAAAGAAAGAGCAGGAATAAGACGTGATAGAGAGACGAAAGGCAGGGAGACCGCTCGCGCGCGCTCCCGCTCTCGCACTGACAGATTATAAACGAAAGGTAAGGAGAAAGAATAGGGGATAGTAAGGGGACTGATAGATAGAACGAAAGATCAGGGAGAGAAAGTACTATAGATAGGAAGCGAAAGAGCAAGGAAAAATCTAGGGGAGTAAAGAGAATAGATTAGAACGAAAAGTCAGGAGAAACGGAATAGGAGATAAGTTGACTTAACAGATTAGAAGCGGAAAGACGGAAAATTAGGAGAGTAAGGGGATTGATGACTCAGAAAAGAGCAAGCGAGAAAAATAGGAGAGTAATAAAAAAAAAAAAAAAACAAAGAAAAAACCTTGCTTTCTACAGACTAGAACGAAAGAGCAGGGAGTGTTTGATAAATACTAGAAGAAGTAGACTATAGAGAGACAAATGAGGATAAGGAGAAGTAGGGTGTGGTTGTTTGTAATATACAGTACATTGTTCTCACACACTTCATTCAACCCGAACAGGCGAGGGCAAGAATGAAGATGATGAGGGAGATTTCCCTTCGCCATCAGACTGCTATCACAAATGCTCTCTCGTCTTGTTTACCTTTTTTTTTGCCATCTTGAGGCTCGTCGCGTCTTGTTCACACGCCCCCCCCCCTCTCTCTCTCTTTCTTTGTCTTATTTACTCTATATATATTCTCTCTTTCTTCTCCGATTCCCTGTCTCTTTTACTTTCTATATACTATATCGTCTCTCTCTTATCTCTGTCTGTCCATCTGGTCTCTGTCCTACTCTTTGCCATCTTTTCTCTTTTGCGTGTGCTTCCTTGGTCTCTCTCTTGCTACTTTCTCTTTTCTTCTCTATTCTCTCTTCTATTCTTCCTTTCGTGACAAATTACTCTCTCAGTTCATCTCGCTCTCTGCTCTCTTCTCTCCTCATCTCTCCTCTCTCCTCTCTTTTTAGTTTGTTCTGTACCATGTCAGTCAGTCAGCTGCCCTATGCTGAGACCCGTGGTCCTGTCTGCTTGTCTGTTGCTCCTCTCCCTTCTCTCTGCTCTCTCTCATACTCTCTCACGTCTACTCATCGCTCTTCTCTCTCTTCCTCCTCTCTCTCATCCTCTCTCTCGTCACTCTCCTCTCTCGCTACTTCTCTCTGCTCTCTCCGCTCTCTTCTTTTTTGTAATAAATCGGAAGAATGTATTTAGTAATTAGAAATTGTGTGTTTATTTATGTGTTTACCTTCTTTATTGGTTTCGTCATGGTGTTTTTTTTTCTCTCTTCTGATGCAAAATATTTGCATCATATTTTTTCTGCGTTGGTTGAGGCCGAGTATTTTTTTTTTCTTTTTTCATCGTTCGTTTATCCTTTGTTCGCTCGTTTAGTCATCTGTCTCGCTTATCTACTCGTGTCTCCCTTTGTCTTTATTTCGCTTATCTCTCCACATCCGTCTTTCGGGTTGTTCCATTCGTCCAATCCCTTTGGTGATTCGTTTCGGCCGTTCGCTCGTTTGGCTCTTCGATTCTCTCTCTCTCTCTTTTCTGTCTCTGTCTCTCACTGTCTCTGTCTGTCTCTGTCTCTGTCTCTGTCTTTGTCTTTGTCTCTGTCTCTGTCTGTCTGTCTCTGTTCTGCTCTCTTCTTTCTTTTTCTTTCTTTCTTTCTCTCTTTCTCTTTCTCTCTCTCTCTCTCTCACTCTCTCTCTCTCTCTCTCCTCTTCCTCCTCTCTCTCTCTCTCCCTCTCCCTCCCTCCCCCTCTCTCCCTCTCTCCTCTCTCTCTTCTCTCTTCCTCTCCCTCTTCTCCCCTCCCTCCCCTCTCCTTCCCTCCCTCTCCCTTCCCTCCTCCTCCCTCCCTCCCTTTCCCCTTCTTCCCTTCCACTCCCTCTCCTCTCCCACTCCCCTCCTTCCCTTCCCTCCCTCCCTCCCCCTCTCCCTCCATCCCTCTCTCCCCTTCCTTCCTCCCTTCTCTCCCTTTCCACTTCCCTCTCCCTCTTCCACGTCTCTGGCATATCCACTTGTTCTGCTTCGGAAACGGGCGACCTTGAGCTGGGCGAAGCAGGGTAGGGTTTCAAGGGTGAATTCGAGTCGCCAGTTACTGGTTAACGATGTGCACTCAAGTGCATGATCAATCGAGCATGAGAGTGAAGCATAACACACACGCACGCACACGCACACTATCGCACTTAACGCACACGCACAGCACACCACCCGGGAAACACACACGCACACACGCAAGCACAACGCACCAACGCACACGGGTATCTTGCCAGCACCAGCACACACAACCCACGCACACGCACACGCACGGACACGGCACACAGAGGCACACGTGGCAATCACCACACGTCACGACACTGACATACGTACCACGCTACACCGCACACGCACACGCACACGTACACTCGCGATGGAGAACAGACAACAGAGACAACAGAGAGAGAGAGAGTATTGCGGAAAAAAATCAAAACCAATTTAGTTCACTAATACGGCAATGACACGGAAACTCACTCGCTCGCTCACCCAATGCAACGACAATTCCGGAGGCGGCGAGACGTTTATCCTAGTCACCACGAACGGGGATGAAGCACACGCAATACTTTGAGTATCGTCAGATGGTGTTGTGGGGGTGGGGAGCCGGTGAGTCCGAAAACAGACGCACACATATATCACATACACAACAGCTAAAAAATAAAGATGAATTTAATAATAGAAATAAAGAATAGATAGATAAAGATAAACGAAAAAAAAAAAGTGCTGATGGCGCTCTTAGGAGTTGATTCGATTTCATTACATGCCGGGAGAGCGGAGGGGCAAATGTTGCGCAAGTTAATAGTTGGTATGTGTATTCGACTGGCTCAGAATACGTCTACGCGGAACAAAGAAGAGAAAAAGTGGGCCGTAGGCTCCCTCCACTTTAGGTAAAAGTGAAATAAAGAAAAAAAGAAAAAAGGGACACACCCAAACGCAGGTTGAGTGAAGGCCTCATCGTCGATATTCTCCATCCCCCACCCTGCGCTCAGGCTGCCTGACTCTTTTCACTCCCGCCCTTACCAATACGCTGCATAACTCGGGCTCAGGGACAGTCGGTCGCTGTTAATCACATCTGCATCTAGTCTCTTCTCTCTCTCTCTCTCTCTCTCTCTCTCAGATCTCTCTCTACTCGTCTCTTCGTCGTGCTCTCTCATAGTAGCTCTCTCTCTCGTCGTTGTCACGCACCTCTCTCTCATCTCTCCCCCCCCTCTCTCTACTCCTCCGGCAATGGTCCTCCCATACCCTCTCTGTACCCCTCCCGATGCACCGTGCGGCACCCCATACATACTCCTCCTCCCCCGCCACCTAACCATAGGATGGCACACTATCTCTGCTCTTCGTCATCCTCTCCCTCGAATTCTCTCGTCATCTCCTCTCTCTCTCTCTGATGCCTATCTCGATACATGCTCAGTGCTCTCAATCTCTCTCGTATATCTTCTCTCTCGTATCTCCGCCACCCCCGCTCAACCATACCAAACCGTTCCGTCTCGCCACGCCAAGGGTACAGCCTCCTCCCTGCGCCTCTCAACCACAGGGAGAGGCATCTGCCGAGACCGCCTGGCGTCCAATCGGAGTCTCTCTCGCATGCTCTCTCCCACCTCCCATCCCCCCGCGATCCTCGCAGCTCCCCTCATCATCTGCTCTCACACCCCCCCCGCCCCCTTTCGAACACGGAGGTCTAAAAGTCAGGGGCCGTGACGATCCCGCATCGTCAGGCATACGTTATTGGTTTTAGAATTGTTTTATTATTATTATTATTAATTATTATATTATTATTATTATTTATGGAATTTATAATTAATTTGAGTTTAGAGTTCTTAATGGTATATAGAGGTATTATTATGTATTTATTAGATTATTATCATTTGTTTTATATATAATAGTTATTATTGGTGTTATTATTATTAGAGCAATCGTACGCAGATGTGGCGCCACGCACGTCCTAGGCGGGGAACGGCATGGAGAGGTGGGGGGTGGGGGGGGAGGGGAGGCATTAAAGGATGCCTCAAGGGTACGGATCTGTCCTTGGGGGGGCTATGCGTTGGGTGGAAGGAGGGGGGAGAGAGGGAGAGGGGAGGGGGGAGGTACGGATCGCCGCGGGATGCGTGGGGGAAGGAGGGGGAGAGAAGGGGAGAGGGGGGAGTACGGTCTCCATGGGGGGTAATGCGTGGGCGGGAAGGAGGGGGAGAGGGGGGAAGGGGGGAGTACGGATCTCCTTGGGGTATGCGTGGGGGGAAGGTGGGGGAGAGGGGAAGGAGGGGTTACGGATCGCCTTGGGGGTATGCATGGGGAAGGAGGGGAGGGGGAGAGACGGGGAGAGGGGGGGAGGAGGGAGGTACGGGATCTCCTGGGGGTAAGTGCGTGGGGGGGGAAGTGAGGGGAAGAGAGGGGGAGAGAGGGGAGTAGAGGGGGAAAGGGAGTAGGGGGTTACGTGTGAAACTGGCATCCTTAAGCCCTGGAGGAGGAGTATTCAATGGGGCTGCATGATCGTCCGGGTTTGTGGAGATCCCTCGGGCAGTCTGGAAGGGGAAAGGGGAAGGAAGGGGAATAAAGGGAGGGAAAGGGAAAGGGGAAAGGGAAGAAGGGAAAAGGGGAGGGGAAGGAAAAAGGGAAGGGAAGGGGATGGGGAAAAGGAAAGGGGAAAGGGAAAAGGAATAGGGAAGGGAAGGGGAAAAGGGAAGGGGGAAGGGGAGGAGAGGGGAAGGGAAGGGGCTACGGGGAACGGGGAGGGAAAGGGGGAAGGGAAATGGAAGGGGGTTTGGCAAATAGCTTCGATGTAGAAGGCGTGATTTTTTCATTAGTGCTATGTGCACAGTATTTACACAACTGTATTATACATACATACATACATATATATATATATATATATATATATATATATATATATATATGTGTGTGTGTGTGTGGTGTGTGTGTGTGTGTGTGTGTGTGTGTGTGTGTGTGTGTGTGTGTGTGTGTAACATACAAAATTCACCATACAGTACATACACACGTGCATACACATTCATACACACATATGCATATATATATATATATATATATATATATATATATATATATATATATATATATATATATATTGTGTGTGTGTTGTGTGTGTGTGTGTGTGTGTGTGTGTGTGTGTGTGTGTGTGTGTCTGTGAGTGTGTCTTTATATATATAGATATAGATATAGATTTATTATTATTAATTGATGTGCATTGCCGCTTGTTCATTTCTGCCGCAATGCCCCGTGACCTTTGCGGGCGCGAGGTCAGGGCGAAGGAGGCCGCTCCCTCTGCAGCTCCAGGCAAGAGGAAGACTCGCCGGAGGCCACTTTACTATTGATTAATTATCGATAATTGTCGTTACTTTTATCTCTCGCCGTTGTTGTAAAAGCTAATGTACTTTCGAGAGATTTTTTTTTTTTTTTCTTTTTTTTTATTTTTTATTTTATTTTTTATTTATTTTTATTCTTTATTTTGTCTTTTTTATATTTTTCTTTTATTTTATTCTTTTATTTATTTTTTTCTTTTATTTTTTCTTTTATTTTTTCATTTTATTCTTTTATTTCTCTCCTTTTCCTTTTTCTTTGGATGAGACTTTCATGAACCCTTTTTTTTTTTGGGTGGGCTGCGGTGGGCGGGGCGAGGGTTTCTCTTCATCAAGAAACTGGGAGGGCTTCAGGGCGTCCTTCTCTCGCCTGCTATTTCTGTGTCGACGTCGAGGGCTTTCTGATTCCCTTTTGTCCTCCTCCTGGACCCTGGCCATTGTCTTGGGATGGATATATATATGTATATATATATGTATATATATATATTATTATTATATAATATATGTATATATATATATATG